GGCCGCTTCGGAAAGGGTCATTTAGATCACTCGACAGAAAGGTCAGACACGTATGGAGGCTCTACCTGCGATTTTTGGTAAAAGCTTTGTGAAGCGCGCGATCTGTAAGGATAAATAAGAGGGAGTCGGGGAAAGGGGAGGGGGGGGGGGAATAGGTTGGGTTGAAATGCTGGCTGGGAGTTAGGGCGGAGATGCAGTGGGAGGAGACACGTATGGTAATCGTTTGTGTGCTTGCGTTTGCATATTCACAAACACACACACACACACACGCACGCGCGCATGCACGCGCACACGCATCACATGGATAAACATATACACAGCCACATGCCTGTGTGTGTTTGCGTGTTTGTGTGTGTGGCCTTGTTCGTGTTTCATTTCCTTTATCCGCAAACGCCGTCTGTAATACTTTTCCCCTCGCCTTATCTGCATCAAAGCATTTGTTTGAACTCCAAAAGCTTATTTGATAAAACCGCAAAGTTGCTCTGAAAACTCCCGCATGTTCAGAGTTCAACGTTCTAGAAAGGCAAAGGAAAGAACTGATTATTTCTTACAGTTTACTTTTAGATTTATCGTCGTAAAGCCTCAGTTCCTTGAAAGTTAAATCTAGCGCGAACTAAGGTGAGAGAGAGAGAGAGAGAGAGAGAGAGAGAGAGAGAGAGAGAGAGAGAGAGAGAGAGAGAGAGAGAGAGAGAGAGAGAGAGAGAGAGAGAGAGAGAGAGACAGACAGAGACAGAGAAAGAAAGAGAGAGAGATTAAAAAGATAGATGGAGAGAGAGAGAGAGACAGATACATCGATAGATAGACAGAGAGATAGATAGATAGAGTGAGTGAGCGATAGAGAGAGATAAAAAGGAGAGAAAGAGAAAGAGAGAGAGGGAGGGAGGGGGAAAGACAGAGATTGATAGAGAGAGAGAGAAGAAGAGAGGGAGAGACAGATAGATCGATAGATAGACAGATAGATGGATAGACTGATAGATAGATATATATATATAGAGAGAGGAAGAGAGGGAGAGACAGATAGATCGATAGATAGACAGATAGATGGATAGACATATAGATAGATAGAGAGAGAGATTTATATATACATATACATACGAATATATATGTATGTATATATATATATATATATATATATATATATATATATATATATATATATATTATGATAATGTTATTTAGCCAATACACATAGATAGTTTGACATATCCAAACATAAATAGAATGGCCGATCCTCCTAAGAAGAAAAGCTCTCTTCAGAAGATATTTTTTATCTAAAAAATGAATGTGTGTTTACAGTTCTAGTCAACATGATTCCATTCGCAGATTTTTGGAGATGATTTCAATAATAAAGAAAAGATTTACAGCCGGGTGCATATAACAAAGAGAAGTCTAGTAAATTAGACTATATCGTAATAAGTGATGATAATACAAAATACTTAGGAATAGAAATATATTGTATAAGACTATATCCATATGCGTACACACATATACACACACGCACGCACGCATTCACACACACACACACACACACACACACACACACACACACACACACACACACCACACACACACACACACACACACACAACACACACACACACACATACACATACACACACACACACACAAATATATACATATATATATATATATATATATATATATATATATATATATATATATATATATATATATATATATATATATATATATATATATATATATATATATATATATATATATATATATATAATATATATATATATATATATATATATATATATATATATATATATAATATATATATATATATATATATATATATATATATATATATATATGAACATGCACACCTACATACATGGATTTATACATACATAAACTTAACATATACTTATGTATTCACACATACATGCATAAACAGACATACATACAAACATGAATATGCATATATATATATACATACATATATATATATATATATATATATATATATATATATATATATATATATATATATATATATATATATATATATAATATATATATATATATATATATATATATATATATATATATATATATATATATATATATATATATATTATGTATATATATATATATATATATATATATATATATATATATATATATATATATATATATATATATATATATAGACATACATATATACATACCTATATTTAACCATACGCACATATACATATATACATACTTATATTTAACCATACACACATATACATATACACATACATCTACATATATATTACAAAGACATATTTTTACACATGAACATGCATTCATACAGATGCGTACATACACATTTACATGTTGCCATATACATGCATACTATATACTTATACATATTATTGCTTACACCTTACATTTGTTCTGCACATCACACACATGGTAATAAATGGGTCTACAAGGATTTTTTGCATGACAATAGTGATGGAGCGTGTAGATGTGAGGGCGGATT